TTGAGAGGACATATTTTAAGACCATCTACTTGTGGCTTCCATCCCCAGGTGGAGTCATCTGTCACCAGTCTTAGTGAAAAGGAGTTGAAAAGAAGGATACTTCTTACCTGCCTGAAAATGGTCTGTCCAACTAGTTTAAAAGAGAAGAGTTATTGTGGGACAGTGATGGTCACATTCACATGGTGTCTGCTGGGAAGGCACACTAATCGTAACCACTCTTGCCTGGATTGAAAGTGAGGTCTGCCAAACTACAGCCATGGGTGCAGATGTCCCAACAGCCCAAGGATCTTATCACCAATGTCTAGGGGGCCTATCTAATTCATGGAGGCTGCCTCCATATTTCGGAGTCCTGGCATTGCGTCTGGCACCATTTTTGCAGCAAGGCGTGGCAGGCCCATGCCATGCCTCCCCTGGGGCTGAGGGGCCCCAGAAGTCCTGCCCCTCCCCAGAGGCTGATAGATGGCCATCTGTCAATCGCTGGGGAGGGGCCCCTCAGTTAATCAGAGGCATGGGGGGCCCTGCCACACTCCACCACAAAAATCTCTCCTTCCCGCCCCCCCTCTCCCCCTGCAGTGCTTCAGAATGCCAGGGCTTCCTGCCTCTCTTTGCAGCAACCTTTCCCTCCCACCCCACATGGAGGGGAAAAAAATGGCAGATCTCTGTATGAAGAAGTGGAGGTTTCTAATAGGAACCTGAAGTTGGAACCATAGCAAGAGGGAGGAATATGAAAAGTGGAAGGAGTGCTGGGTGACAGTAATTATAAAGCAGTAGTTTTGAATTCTTAGAAGGGAAAAGAAGGAAACGAACAGAATAAAAAAAGAAAATGGACTTCAGTAAGACTTTAAGTAAACTCCCAGACCTCACAAATAAGAGCCAATGGAAAACAAATCTAAGGGAGAAGTAACTTGAGTTGAGTTTCTTAAACAATATTATGGGCAGAACCATTAACTATCCCTATATGAAAGAGAGCAACTAAGTTAAATCATGAGCTTTTCAAAGACCTGAAACTCAAGATGTAAGGACACAGGAAGTGCAAGCAAGCTAGGTCAAATGACTAGGGATTTCAATAAAATAGCATAAACACATAGGTACAAAATCAGAAAAGCCAAGACAAAATTATTCCATAGGAATAAATCAATTGCACCAACATAAGGTGGGGACTAAGTGACCGATTAGGCCACAGTTCTGTAGAAAAGGATCTAGGGATTAGAGTAGGTCGCAGACTAAACATGAGTCAGTGTCACACCATTGTGCAAAAAAACCTACCAACCCATGATATTGGCCCAAACAAACATTAGTGTCATATGTAAGACTTGTGAAGTGTTCCTTTCACCCAACTGGGTACTGATAATGTCTCAACTGAGAAGCACGTCTAGTTTTGCACACCCTGCAGATGTAGTTCAATTGGACGGTCTAGAACAGTGCTTCTCAAAGTGGTGGTCCGCGGACCGGTGCTGGTCTGTGAGCCACTGGTCGCCGGTCTGCAGCGAGTTGCCAGGAAAGAAATAAATATATTTTCAGAAGCATAATATTGATATGTCATAGTGCCACAGTTTGTACATTCCAACACTCCAGGTGATGTCATGTTGTGCGAGGTGAGGAAAGAAACAGCCAGTAGCGCTTTGGGTAGCACAGTTACATGCAGTTGCTGCCACCGGCTGAACTGGGCACTGGTCCCTGGCCCACTGGAAAAAAATTGCCGGTCCGCCACAACAGATAGTTTGAGAAGCACTGGTCTAGAAAACCAATAACCATTCATCTAGGGAGTATGACTTATGAAAAAATACTGTACTGGGGAAAAAAAAGGGTTTGCTTGGTCTAGAGAAGACTGAGGGAAAATTTCATAATCTTCTGCAAAGATGAAGGTAACAAATCCATGTTCACTGGGAACAGGACATAGTAATAGGCTTAAAGTTCAGCAAAGTTGTTTAGCTAAGAATTAGGGGAAAAAAACCTTTCTAAATCTAAGGATAACTAAACACTAGATACTAACTAGGGAGGATGTGCAAGCTCCATCACTGGAGGATTTTAAAGACAGGTTGAACAAGTAGTCAGGAATGGTTTGGTTATAAACTGATTCTGCTTTGGGGAAGAAGAATGAACTAGATGTCCTCACGAGATCCTTTCTAGCTCCCTTGTCTGTGACAGCAGGGGACTGGATACAATAACCGAGAAGGTCCCTCAACTACATTCCCACAAGCCACAAGGCTTTGTAAATTATGCTGTTCCAGATACAAAAGTTCCAGAACTGTATAGCCTCTGGACATATGGAAGCGGTATCATACCACCTGCTGACATAAAACATAGATCACAATCTGCAGGGTCTGGTTTGTGAAGTAGGGGAAGAATACCTAGGGAGGAGGGATGGATGTCGTATACTTAGACTTCAGGAAGGCCTTCGATACGGTATCCCACCCCATACTGGTGAACAAGTTAAGAGGCTGTGACTTGGATGACTACACAGTCCTGTGGGTGGCGAATTGGCTGGAGGGTCGCACCCAGAGAGTCGTGGTGGATGGGTCGGTTTCGACCTGGAAGGGTGTGGGCAGTGGGGTCCCGCAGGGCTCGGTCCTGGGACCGATACTCTTTAATGTCTTCATCAGCGACTTGGACGAGGGAGTGAAATGTACTCTGTCCAAGTTTGCAGATGACACAAAGCTACGGGGAGAAGTGGACATGCCAGAGGGCAGGGAACAGCTGCAAGCAGACCTGGACAGGTTGGACAAGTGGGCAGAAAACAACAGAATGCAGTTCAACAAGGAGAAATGCAAAGTGCTGCACCTAGGGAGGAAAAATGTCCAGCACACCTACAGCCTAGGGAATGACCTGCTGGGTGGCACGGAAGTGGAAAGGGATCTTGGAGTCCTAATGGACTCCAAGATGAACATGAGTCGGCAGTGTGACGAAGCCATCAAAAAAGCCAATGGCACTTTATCGTGCATCAGCAGATGCATGACGAATAGGTCCAAGGAGGTGATACTTCCCCTCTATTGGGCGCTGGTCAGACCGAGTTGGAGTACTGCGTGCAATTCTGGGCACCGCAATTCAAGAGGGATGCGGATAACCTGGAGAGAGTCCAGAGAAGGGCCACTAGTATGGTTAAGGGCTTGCAGACCAAGCCCTACGAGAAGAGACTAGAGAAACTGGACCTTTTCAGCCTCCGCAAGAGAAGGTTGAGAGGCGACCTTGTGGCTGCCTATAAGTTCATCACAGGGGCACAGAAGGGAATTGGTGAGTATTTATTCACCAAGGCGCCCCCGGGGGTTACAAGAAATAATGGCCACAAGCTAGCAGAGAGCAGATTTAGATTGGACATTAGGAAGAACTTCTTCACAGTTCCTGCCTATGCAGGGGGTTGGACTCGATGATCTATTAAGGTCCCGTCCGACCCTAGCATCTATGAATCTATGAACCTGGCACACTAGATGCATCAACTGTCAATTGCAGTATTTTTACATGAAGTATAGACACCAGGTTGGTCCACAGCATTATGCCTTCCTGACTTCTAGGTGTGCTCCCACTCCTTAAGTGGATGCATCCATTAACAATTTTTCTGTGAGCAGAAGAGCATCATGGACCTCTTTGCAAATAATGGTCGTTTCCCCCACATCCCTCATCTAAGGGTGCCAGAAATTTGAACAGATACATGGACTGGTACATCTAATGGATGTTTGTAGACTTCAACTATTTCTGCAGATAACTGGTGTGCTGAATTCCATACTATGTGTCCTAGAAACCTTAGGCAATTCCTCGCAGTTGCATTTGTCAGGGATTGAAGATAGCTGCAAAATCTAGAATGGACTGAAATGTTTTATGAGGTAGAGTAGCTGCTGTTGTAAACAAGAATTACTCCAGTGAACTCAGTTTTTTGTACTGAAGTCAGAAGGAAAGTGTGTGCGCTTATTATTAGGCCTACTGTGATAGTCAAGTTTGAATCCGGTGCATGCTATCAACTACTTGTTTAGATTGTGGGCAACTTGCTGCTTCAAGCCACAGCCACTTGGACTGTCCCTTTTGAGTGAAATATGATTGTGCTTGCATGTACTTGGTAAAAGACCCTTAAAGCTATTGAGAGGCAGAAAGGAAACATTAATGTAATATTAAACATTGGGTCCCTATGTCTTATACCAGAAAATAAGCTGCTGGTGCTGCTTCACTAAAAGTTACACGAATTTAACAAATCTCCTCTTGAACTACTCAACACCCAACATCCATAGGTAATTAGCAAAGGAAAGTAAGCAAGGACATAACGATTCATTCTCTTTTTGAAATACAACCCTTTTACCACCTCTTAAAAGAAAAAGATCTTAATACACCAACACAGGACTTAATTCTCAATGTACAGCTTTTTGCCTTCATGAAAAAATTCAGAAGCTTCTCATATGCCTCCAGGCCATACATCACTCCCATTTAAAAACAAGAGATGAAAAAAGCTATTGAAAACAGTTTATTTCCAGGATCAAATATTACAATAGGACATTTACATATATTTATAAAAAAATGCAGCAGTTGTGTATATATAGATCAGAGGTTTCCTTGAGTTTGGTCCCTCCCAGCACAGTGAGTTGAAATCTTCCAAAGATTTCTCCTCCTCCTCTTCTTCCCATACTGAATTGCATCATCATTAAGAGAGTGACAACTGTACAAAATGACAAGCCAAGTCACAATTTCATACAGCTGAAAGCTTAGTTCAATAGGAGGAAACAACCCCCTAAGAAGTCAACTTATTGTATTGGAATGTGCCGTGTCCCTGGTTAGACACCACACTTCTCAAACCGTGTTACCCAGATTTTCTTCATTTAAAGCTGTTCTATAAAATAGCACCTCATCCCCTCCTCTCCTTCAGATATTTCTTACCATCTTCCCAAGACTCAAAAAGTCCCAGCACCTTTAAACACTCAATGACAGGATTGCTCTCCTCTGTACTGATGATGTACTTCAGGAATTAATGAAACTGACAGTGGAGCCCAGAACTTCCCTAACTAGGGGGTAGGTGTGGGTGTGAAGCTGGAGGGTAAAATGGATGCAACATGAGGCACAGGACAGTATCACCAGGTGTCGCATTCTCCAGTACAACTACTTTTATTGGGCAGGAATAGCCACTAAGTGATCTCACAATTAAGGAGAGATTGGAATAAAGTTCTCCTCCATGCCCATTAACCTCACAGGCTCAAGATTAAAACAGCAAAGCATAAATAGAATAAAATCTAGCACTCCTGCCATACAAGAGAGAACACTTGCAAGATCATCCACCCAGAATAACTGTAACAGTAGTGTACGCAGATTTTAATAGACATTGGTCAAAATGTTTTCATTACCTGGAAAAATGGAATTAGAACAGGGAAATTGATGGGATTTCCAACTCATCTAGGCTCACCCAGCTTATTTGTGTGGGTAAAAATGTGACCCAGTTTTCAGTTATTTTATTAACAGTTCTAGTTTTTACATAAAGAACAGAAAAAAGGATTAAAAAAAAAAGAATGAGCACAATCAGAAGTGTTAACACACTGTTACAACGAGTACCCAATCTTCAAGTGATGGAAGCCTGTTAGCCTTCATACCTAACACATCCAAAGCATACCCATACATTCACAAGCGCTGGCATGGTTCTTTGGTACTGATGAAATCACTACTCCAACTATAAAGAGCAAACTTGACAAGCATAAAACCAGATTTCTGATGCCAAATGAGTAGGGTTATATTCTAATCAGCAATTTCACTAATTAGTTGTATGAACTGACCTAGAAGTCACATGGCTCCCACAGTAACAGGGCAACAACTGGTAATGAACTGACCTGCAACACACAGCTACATACACAATTCTGTTTCCTGGCTCTACAGGGAAAGTCACCAGAACTGCAAAGGTGAAGGCACCTATGTATATCATGCTGAGTCTGTTTAACAACAAAAGTGAGTTCTCAGCAGCCAGACAGATGGGGCTCAGAAGCAATCTGGATTTAAGATTCCAGAATCGGAAAATTGAGCTATGTTCTAAGCAGACTCAATCACGTAGCTCATTCCAACTTTTGTAACGTGAATGCGACAAGGAAGCAACAAGAAGAATCAAGACATGATAGTCACAGGATTTCAGACTAAGTCACATTTTAAAGTGTACCCTGTGCAACTATGTGAAAAAAAATCTCCTGAAAGAAAAACATATAAAAAGAGGGCTGTGTAGAAGTTATGTTTTTGTTCCATCTGTTCATTTTAAGAACTGTAGCAGTTTCTCATACAAGTGTGCTTCATTAAAAGTGTCTAGCAGTCATGTAAACCATGATAATCCTACATTTGGGATTATTTAAGAAAACTCAAGTATTAACACAATACAGACACTTTCCATTTTCTTAGATTAAATGTCACTCTTTGTAAAGCAGGTTCAGATGTGGTTACTTTTGGAAATCATTTTGATGCAAACCGTCTAATCAGCTTCTAACAGAAGTGACATCTTTGGAAACCCTATTGTATCACCATTAATTTGCTAATATTTAAAAAAAAGACAAGAAGACTACTTTATATAAAATTAAAAATGTAAGATCAAATCTGATGACTCCCCAGGGAGTACAATAATAAAAAATAAAGCTGAAGATGGGTAGGGAGTGTAAATATCTTAGACCGTGATTCAAAGCCTTCTGTTGTCAATGGGCATGGCTCTTTGTGGCTTTTGATCAGACCTCAACTACCTACTGGAGGCCAGTAGAGCATGGTTTCGGTGAAGCTGCTAGTCAGCTTACTTTAGTATAAGCCTTGATATAATAACACTCTAATTTCCAGGATAGTGAAGGACAAGCAGGTCAGGGCTCCCAGTGACTTGGGAGACGCAGATGTACCCACATGAGCTTTCAAACCATTGCTCCATTTCTTATACTTTTGAAGGGACACTTTGGCTACTTCTAGTCACAATTAACTATGATATACATGATTTATTTTCAAGAAATCAACTGAGAGAGAGCAAAATAAAATTAATGGTACGTGAGGAAAACATCTTTAAGTAGTTGCTCCTTAGCTGCAAAGCATGAGAGTTTGAAATGTTAATCAAGAGAACAGACATAGCTATTCAATCCAGTATCAGCCTAGGATACTGACTCCCCATGGCATATGTACATCTCTCTACTCCCTAGGACAACTCATAACTAACCTAGGAAGTAAATAGACAAGTGAGAACGAACAGTTTACATGGGACATTACACAAGACCACTGCCAAGTCACATTTGCTTTGCTAGCCCACAAACGATTCAAATTTGAGACCTTTCCCCCTCTATTCTATTCCAAAATAATCTGTTTCAAGATACTGAGGCTGAGATACAGCTGTGACAAAGACCACTTAACACACCCTTCCTCATACAGTGAGGTAAACAGCCAACCTGGCAAAGGTTACAGGCCTGTCACAGCTGTTGCAGTGCATTACAGGATGCATCTCATCCCATTTCTTAGGCCTGCAAAGGCTAGGGCTGCCAAATGGCATACTCTGGTTCAGAGGGTTGAAGAGAAAGCATCTCCCAACAGTAGCCTTTCCAGTGAAATTAAGAAACAGCATCAACTGACCTCATGAGAATTCTTTCTGGTATTCACGAGCTACACTGAGAACTCAATGGCTGTAACATGTGCTCTCTTGTAAAAAAGTAACCAAACTGCTTTTAACACAAACCTGAATTAAGAACCGGTTCAAGACTCTCAATTCAGTTTTCTGATATTGAGATAATCAGTATGAGAGAGATGAGCTCCCTATGGATGAGTCAAAGAATGTCATATGATTTTTGCTGGCCTTTGGCTGCCTTGCAACTGAAGCCAGATTTTCATTAAACATGGGCGTTGGAAGAGTTCCTTTGCACTCATTAAATGCAAAAGACCAATGCTTTAGCAAGATCCCTGCTGCTCACCACTGGGTGGATGTGGGCCACGAGAACAACTGACCAATCAGAATATTGCTTTGAATAGTGAGTGACCCTAGCCATGTAGCCAGAACCCCAAAGCTAGAGGAACTGCCAAAGCTCCCTGAAGTGTTTCATAGGGCATCAGGAGACATTCATAAAGTTTACAACCTTGAACAATTTGGCAGGCAAGAAAGCCCAGCCATGCACAGAAACTAGACGTGAGTCTTGGTGTTCTTGTACCCTTCCTCAACTTCTTCAAAGACAAATTAACCAACTAGGGAGAAACAAGACAGCTTTGAGCAAATTAAGTTCGCGGCCAATCATTTCAGACCCCTGAAACCTCAGAAAATGCAACTTTTAAAAACTAAATGTTAGGGATTTACCTCTCCCTAGCACATCCAAACATCCAAGTTAATATTTTTGTGGTCTTTTATTCTCAAATCCAGATGATCCTCCATTTTACAGAAACTATTGTCCCTTTATCCTCAAACAACACATCCCTTTTTAATTTGGGTTCTTGAAGTTCTCTTACTCATTAATGCAACAGGGGGGTAGCCTACAAGAATAATTCTGACACTGATGAGTGATTAGGTATGAATCCCAACATGTCACCTTGGAAGTGACTCAGCGCACTGACCACAAAATGGCCATCAAGATTGGTTTTCACAACTAAATATCCTGTAGCAGAATGCACAGTGGTATCACTGAATGCACTTCATACATTTCGACTAAGTGCATTCAGAAAGTCTTATATATTTAAATATTTATATAATTCATTATTATACAAAAAACTCTAACGGTTTTTGGGGGAGAGGACAATTAGGCTGCAGTTTATTTCTTGTGAATAACCCCTATGATCTCTCATGCATGATTCTTTAATGCTACAGTCTATATGGAGCCTTGAGTGAATTTAAAGGCAAAAGCACTGTGCTATCCCATGGTATATGCCTAACTGTATGATCAATTTATGCTGGCAACAGTTATTTCCTAGAGAGAAAAGAATATTCCATTTCCCTGATGCTATAACACCACTAATGTTTCCTGACAAACCATAGTGGAATTAACTTGTAGAGAAGGCCTAATCTTCTGTCAAGCAAATTGACAGTCCTAGCAGGACCTGACTTTGGCCTGCTTATATATCATACAGGAAAATAAATTGCTTGATGTAAGTGCAGAAAACAAAATGAGCACCTGGCTTCAATAGTAATGTCTGTAGAAGGATATGTAAAGAATTTTATCTCACTATGTTGTCCACCACAAATCCTTGAACAGTGACTGACCACCAGCTCACACTCCAGGTAAAGCTTCTAGGAGAATGAACATTATATGGTGAAAAACTGACTGAGCAGCACTGTCCTGTATACTGCATTATGCTTAGTTAGTTGACAATTTAGCCACAACACCTGCCTGGCTTCTGGTACCGGCTGCTATAATTTAGAGAGAGAGAAAACAGATTGTACTGACAAATCCATTACTGTTGCTTTACACAAGCTTTAAAACTTATTAGTAAGTAAGTCTCTCTCTCTCATTGTAGATGCAGACAGGAAATGGAACTTCAGGCACACCAACTGCCAGGAGTGCTCAAGCCAGCCTGCTTTCTATGTTGGTAGAGAGTCCCATCAAGAAGGGTTTCGTAAAACTTAAAACAAAAGGAACCTCAGCACTAGGACTTCCCTTCCTGATAGCCCAAGAGTCCTGCAAAAGGTGAATTCCTTCCAAGGAAAGAGGCTCAGATCTATTTTAAAGATGTGATGGCAAATATTTTCCAGCAAGTTTGAGAACCTTACAATATCCTACCACCTAACGTAGCCAGTAAAATTCTGTCAAGGAAAAAAAAAGAAAGGAAAAATGGAAATGGAAACATGTTAGGATAAGCAAAATAAGAATTATCCTAATAAGGTTTCGTGAAAGAAAAGAGAAAACCTTAGCTCCACATTAAGTATTCAATTACTGTATCAGATATGTTGGGTTTTCATCAAATCCAGGGACAGCACACCCATGTTTAAAGCAAGAAGTCACTTGATGAGTAGGGAAATGGGGGAGGGAGACGCTTATGTAATCTAACACGCTGTCCAGGGCTGAATCCTTAAAGGCTATCCCAAACACACCTTACCCCATAGCCTTTCCACAAATCAGCTTTCTGCAGAGGGCAGGACAAATTAGGTTAATGAAGACTTCTGCGCAGAAAACCAAAATAAAAGGAAAAATCCCTACTCCAGATTATTCTCCCTCTGCAGGGAGATGACTCAGTGCTTTGTCACGTATATCTCAATAAAACAAAATAGATTTAAGAGTGGCAGCATTAAATATTTTTGCTTGTTACAGCTGTTCCTACCCCCACATAATGGATGCACAGATTACCCTTTTGTTCCAAAACGTGAAGGAAGGATGCCTTTCCCTTGGCCTGATAGGGAAATTTGTTCTGGAATTCTTGTTTGGTCACTGGACTAGGAGAAGGCTGCCTGCCCAATTTCAGCTCTGCATTCGCATGACCCCAACTGCATACTCTGTGAGTTGCTATCAAGGGCAGAGAGGAGGGGAGAGGAAGGCTGGGAGAGAGCTCAGGCTATGGTGCTAATTCCTTTCTTGCACAAAAACAGTCTCTTGAGGACATAGGCCTGCCTCCTGTAATGTGATATCATAGTCCAGATGAGAAAGCTTCCTCCGAGGGAAGTTGGTAAGGAGTTCAAAACGTTCATTGGGGTATCCTTTTGACTGGACGTGTTTCACAAGAGCCTGCAAAGAAATGCAGAGAAGTACTAGTTAATATTAAAATACATTTTAAAGGACACTAACAGCCACCTATTTTCTTCAAAAAAGTCGAAATTTGCCCTAATGGACATAGGGAACTTTGATGTAAAATCAGGTAATAAAGAATATAGATTACATGCACGTTCCAAAAACTCCAATGACTGCAGTACTGAGCATTTAAACCTCATGGATTCTAGTCAATTAATTACTTAAATGAACAGAAGAGAAAAATATTATAGGACACTGATTAAGCAGACTGAATTTTGAGCTGTATGTTAAGTAACAGTAAAATGGGACCTTCAAGAGTGTCTTCATATACAAAGAGTAGGAGCCCCTCCATTGTTTACTGGGAGTCACCACTACAAACAGACCTATTTGACCCTTTGTGTAACAAGTCTTTCCTGCTCCAAAACCCTAGCCCATACAGACTTATTCGTACTAACCCCAATACATTTTTGCCTAAAAATTAGATTTTCTTGCTTTCAAAATACACATATCTGGAGTACTCTGTCCACTTTTGGGCCCCCCACTACAGAAAGGATGTAGACAAATGGGAGAGAGTCCAGTGGAAGGAAATGAAAATGGTGAGGGGGCTGGGGTACAGGATTTATGAGGAGAAACTGAGAGGACTAGGCTTATTCAGTCTGGAGAAGAGAAGATTGAAGGGGGATTTAATAGCAGCCTTCAACTACCTAAAGGGGGGTTCCAAAGAGGATGGAGCTGGACTGTTCTCAGTGATGGCAGATGACAGAACAAGGAGCAATGGGCTCAAGTTGCAGCAAGAGAAGTTTAGATTAGATTTTTCCTAGTATCTCTCTCACCAGGAGGATAGTAAAACCCTGGAACAGGTTACCAAGATAAATTGTGGAATCTCCATCCTTGGAAGTTTTTAAGACCAGGCTCGACAAAGCCTTGGCTGGGATGATCTAGTTGGGGCTGGTCCTGCTTTGAGCAGGGGGTTGGACTAGATGACATCCTGAGGTCCCTTCCAATCCTAATTTTCTATGATTCTATGCTTCTATCTATGATATCCTGGTAAAGCACTGTCATGAGCTGCGCTCATCTCCGTCTAACAGAAATGCTATGCATTGCAAGGAGTAAAAAAAGGAAAATAAAAGTGCAAGGAAACGGCATTTGCTTCACCACCTAAACAGAATCAACAGATGGGTTAGGAAGGGTTAATGCCGGTGATAGGGAGGTGAGGAAACATCATGTGCGGATTAGATGTTAGGGAAACTTTAGAGGGAAGGGAATAGGGCAGAAAGAACAAAGGACAGAAGATGACCTTAAGAAAGGTGAATGCTACTTTTTGAAATGGAGAACAAAGGAGGACATTAGAAAAGACATGGAGATAGAGAAGAAAAAGGGAAAACAAAAATTAACTCAGGTCAGTGACTAATGGGCAATGCCTTGTTGCAATAGACACCCTACACTACTGAGTTTTAAAAGTAAGGTTTGAGCAGCATTTTAACCACTTATTGTTCCTGCAGAATCTGCATTTAGATAACTGCACAGACTGCTTTCTCAAGGTCAGCAGAATAAACGCAAAAAAACTGCCTGGTGGCTGACGGCAAAATTACCTCAGACTCCTGGTTAACATAGCTGAGCTTGACTTCATGTGCTGCAATGGAGGTAGGCGGCAGTCCAAATATTCCTTTACAGTTCATTTTGCTTAAAAATTAATCAAGTCAGTAGAGGTGCACCGATAGAAATTCTGGGGGCCGATGCCAACAGTTGATTTTTAAGGAGGCATATCAGCCGATACTAATCCCATTTCTGATACAGCTGCATGCGGCTGGTAAGTCTGTTGTGGTGGAAGGGGCGGATGGAGGGAAGGGGCACGGGGTCAGATCAAGGCTCCTGCAGTGAGGGAGGGAGTGGGGCTGGAGCAGGCACTGCCCAGTCAGGGCAGGGATGGAGCCACAGCTCATGCGGGGGCCACGTGACCCCGGATCTGCGTGGGGGCAGGATGGGCTGCAGCTGTGGGCTGGGGCTGCGCCAGGCTCTTCCTGGCACGTGGGGGCTGAACTTGGGGCAGGCAGTGGCACTGGGAGGGGGCTATGGCAAAATTTAGGGAAATTTAGGGAGGTTGCAGCCCCCCCATAGCCCTCTCCCAGCGCCGCCACTGCCTGCCCCGAGCATAGCCCCCACGCACCAGAAGCACAGCCTCGAGCACAGCCCTGAGGCACAGCTGCTATGCCAGCCAGTGGACCACCACCCATCCTGTAGATGAGGTGAAGGTTCTTCCTACCCAGATGAAGAACCCTGCACTTCTGCCTGTTAAACCTCATCTGATCGTCTTCTGCCCATAAAACCAGTCTGCAAGGTCATCCTAGATTCTTACCCTACTCCTCTGATGTGCCCGCATTTCCCCACAGCAAACTTTATCACTGAGCTTTCCACCCCCCCATTCCAGTCATTAATAAATATGTTAAAGAGCGTGGGTCCAAGCACCGATCTCTGGGGGACACCACTGGATAATGTTGATGTGTAAAGTAAAACTAGTTCAACAGTCTTATTAGTGCTCCTCAGCCTAGATTTTCAACAGTGATATTAAAATCCTAGGCTTCTAAACCAGTGGTGCTCTCAGTTTTGGCTTTGTGGGCCACACGATTAACCAAGGGCTGATCCAAAGGCTCCAGGGGCCTTGAGCTGCTCCTGCTGGCCCGTGGGCCACCCTGTGCACACAATACAGCACACAAGGCTACAGTCCATGAGTCTGTCAGGAGCCCTGTGGGGAGCCCCGCAGGCCAGATGACATGGCAGTAGGGTCTGAGCATCCCTGCTCTAGAACAAAGCCTGCCAACAATGCCAAAATGTCTTGTGGGGCTTTTCCTCGTGGAGCTAAAAGGTACAACTATGAAAAGGAAAAAATCACTCCTTAAAATCTAAACCAAAATTTGAACTTACGGCAGAGATAACATCTAGATACCTATTCATCATCCAACTCAAGAAAATATGACAAGCAATTGTCTTAAATTTGAGCAAACCCTTACTGAAGATTTGTACTGGAACAGAGGACATAAAAAGAAAGCTCCAGGAGAGGCTTTTATAGCTATTCAGTTTGCAAAACCCAATGCTGGCTGTCCCTCATCTTAGGAATAGTCACGATCATTAGTGATATAATGGAGCTTTTAGTGCAGTTAAGACTTCTCAAAGTGCAGTTAACTCTGCCATACTATGACCTCATGAATACAGTAAATGCATAAGAAACAGTTCAGACAGGCTCTGAAATTGAGAACAGTTAACTGATGCTGAAGCAAAAACTTTCCTTTTGCAAGAACTTCCTTCGAAGTGTGAACTATTACCTATATCCAGAGAGAAGCTATGTAAATATAGCATTAAAAAGAAAAATGGAGAAAGACCCAGGAATCAGGAGTTCTACACTGTTATTCCCATCTAAACCTAGCTCCCTGACCTTGGGCAAGTAATTTCTTTCTGATTCAGTTTCTTGTTAAAGAGAAAACTTACCACAAAGGAACAAGATGCGAATGTTTTTGAAGTACTTTAAGATAAGGAGAAAGGCATTTTGAAAGAATTATTTTACAAGGGCAGAAGGCAGCTTTGTCATAGGAAGTCTGTATGTGGGAAGACAACAATAGAAGGAGAAGAACAGTAGAGGTTCAAAACACAACTTATTCCCTGGATATGCCAACCACCGTCACATTTAGTTGCACTTAATTTCCTAGCGCCACCACAGAAAAGCTCTCTCTAGCTCCAGATCCTCTCTCTACACAACCAAGCACCAATTATTTCTACTCACCAGAAGTTTAGCTTGTTCAGGCAATGAAATTTGTTCCCTCTTTCCATCTGGATACCTTAGCATCAGATGCGCCTTTGGTCCTAGCATAAAGGAAATTACTGCAAGTTAACAGGGCAAATTTAGCTCCTATGGGTTTAAATAGTCTACTCCCCTGTAGAACACAGCAGGGTTAGCAACTGGGGATGAATACATACAAAGGTCTTAAAAGGTGACTTGCAAAGCTTTTTCTGTTTGATCCTTGTGAGGTTCATGAAGATGAGTTTCCATTACACATTAAAAAGAAAATAAGTCACAAAGATGGGGAGTCTGCCAACAAAAATTGTGCCCCCTCCCACCCTTGCAGTCCTATGGAAAAGCCATACTTTTCATTTACACATTTGTCTTAGTGATGTGCTTACACTGCTGCCTCTGTGTGAAGGAAATCTGTTCTGGGCCTAGAGAAATTTGCACACGTCTGCTCTAGCACAAATCCACGTGGAAACAAAGCTGGGCCTGTATCATCATGATTTAGCAGACCCCCTGGCAGAACCCTCACTGTACATATCTACACTGCATCATGGCAAGTTTCCCCAACAAAAAACATTCCACAGACCAACAATTACTCAGGGTTGTGAAAAACGCTGCTGAGGGTGGAAGGCTCTATTCAAATGGGTGACTTGAAGAAGAGATAACTATGGAAAGAAAGGATAGTTTTTAAAAAACAGGACTGCCAGAAAAATGTAAAGCCTTTTGTATCACCATCAAAAAATGGCAAAACTCACCATTCACATCTAGTCCCTCTACAGCACTTTCTGGCTTGTCAACCGACTCCTCCACGATCCCAGCATCAAGGCAGGGCAAAACTCTGTGATTTGATGTTGTCCCAGGATCAGTCCTTGCAGGAGGCTCAGGCTGGGGCCTCCGGCTCTCTTCTTTTTTGTATCCCAGGTCCTTGTGGGGAGACTTCCTAGACTTGGCAGGATTCTCTGACTCCTCCTCCTCCTCTGAGCCACAAACAGAAATAAACTCCTCGCTTCCTGAGAAAAGCTCAGATTCAGATTCCTCATCTGATCGGTTTTCTTGTTTGCCCTGGGAGGAATCAAAATGCGTCTCCTGCAGGGAGGCCCGGATGGCAGCTTCCAGCTGACTGTCCTCACTAGCATCAATGAGGCTCTCCTGTCCAACACCACCATAATACAAAAAACCCAAAACAAAACAAAAAAACTGACTCAGCAAAATTTTGCAACTGCACATACCCAGAAACAAGGGGACTTTAACAAAGGATTCAGAGGTGATGTTTAACAGAAGTCTAACAATTAAATGGAGTGGTAGGTCAGTCACAGTGTTCAGCACTTAATATTTCTCTCTTTAGAGAAACATTTTACTACAAAAGCAAGATTTCCCCTCTTATATACACTGGCACAATGCTGAAATTGGGTTATGGTCTGGTTCTGGTAATCCACAAACATTTTCAATTGGTGGATCACCCATTCATTACCAATTGCCAGATCTTGATTTCCATGTGGCAACTACAGATGAATGGAAAATACTAAGACTGTAGTAAGGAAGCAGGTAAAAGAACAAACTTCCTTTAATGCAACAGAAGCAGGTGCTGGCCATACAATTCTCCTTGCCTAAGGGACAGGCCTTTACAGTTTAGTTTCTAAATTCTCTTCATATGCCTATATGCGTACTGACCTAATACACAACTTTGTAATTTAGTTATCCTCTGCTTGCAAGGTTTTCAATACAGCAGAATATCGATTACCCTCACTACTTAGTGTTACCATCATTCCAGATAACTGTTTTTTCCAGACAATTCAACATCAGTTTGAAGTGCTAAAAACTTTAATTACTGTACACTAAATACTAAAAAACTACAAGAAATATGGTACCATGTAATATTTTAAAATTTCAAAGTACTAATAAATAAACAATGCACAGTTGCCTTGCCAACATGCAAAACCCAACTGTGGCCTAATGAATTTGTTAATACTACCTGACTTTCCAGATAAAAATCACCTTCTAGATGACTGGCTCTACTGTATTATTTTACAAGTTGGATGTAAATTAACCCATGAACAAAGGAAAAAAATGATATATACAAAACTACTGCATAAGAGAGAGAGAGAGAGAGAGAGAGACAGAGACAGAGAGAGAGAGAGAGAGATGCTTTGGCTTTTATTTTTTTGTCCAATTACTTCTAAAAATCTCTTGAAACCCAAGGAATCCAGATTTGGGCTACGATTACACTATTGGGAAAGAAAAATGGTGAGACCTGTACTTTGGGGAGCACCACATCTATTCCATTTAGATGAGTGAATCTAAATATGAAATTAGGCATTCTACATATTTCTTGGATTCATCTCCAGCAGAGAAATGCCCAGAAGCTCCTAACACGTGTTGTACGATGTTCAAATAAAAAAAAATATATATTAAAAGCAGCTGTCTTAGGATCATTGCACTCTAGAAAACAGTACAAAGTGTCAAGGCAATAGGAAAGACTACCTTTTTTTTTTTTTTGCCAATCCTTCCAAGAATCCAACCCCTTCAGTCTGTACTTTCTACTTAAAAGTGTGTGTTTAGGCTATATACCAATGAAAGTTGCAAATTCAACCGGCAGGAGCATAAACATTTAAACTCTCCAATACTGAGAGAGAAATACAGAAGATTCTTGCTAACCTTGATGCTTTGTAATTTATATCCAAGAATAGAAGCCTCTCGCTACTATATTCAGGACAGTTTTCACAACACAGAGCTCCAGCAGAGCTCAGGTTTCTATGCCTATTTCATTAATGAATGCTGCAGAGCATAAATTATTGAACAAAAGTACTTGTCAAAAAGGTGAGAAAGTACATTTTCTAATGCATCATTTCTGCAGCTGCTGCATTTTCAGCAGTTAATTCAGAAGTCAATTTGTACTGATGTCCCATTCAGTGATGTAACTAGGCACATGCCAATTTCTCCTCTTTCTACAACCCCACAAAGGCCTTATAACTTACAGAGCGAGAACATTTTTGGGGAGGGCTGGTGGAATGTCCATCCAGTTGTCCATGCTCACCCAGGAACCCAGTCACTTGGTCCAAGAAAGAAGATACATCCAGTTGGTGCCACTCCACTAATTTCTGGCCTATTAGAATACAGAGTAATATGGAACATCACTTAATGAAGGGGTCCTCAAATTATGGTTTAGTCTCCAGGACCAAAATTTTAAAACACAACATTTTCTTAGTGTCATAATGGTTCTCTTTAATGATGTGGCAAAAAGAGGCAATTATGGATTTATAGAGGATTATTTTAGAATTTTAAAAAAGTCAGGTCTCACTAAAGCTTGCATGTAATGGGCCTCAGGGACAAATGAAGGGAAGGAGGAAAACCAGAGTCTGATACCTATCAACTCCAGCACTAAATTTTCAATTGTGGCTCATCTAATTCTAAACTGAAAAACAATGTTTGAAAAGTCTCAGATAGTTACAGCCCACTCAGATGAACAAAGAATCTTAAATAAATTGCAATAAATGTCCTCTGGAGGGAACTTAAGATAAAGTATTGCTAAAATTTATACCTCATTGCTTAAAGGTTAGGACAACTATTTAACTTCAGTAACAGAGATTCTTTCAGCATCAAAAGCAGCAAGAAGTCTTGGCATTAATTTTATAAATCAGTAATTCAGAGTTTGGAGCTGAGGATCAGGCCATCAATTTAATAGGAATGATGCATAGGGGATTGGGGAAATGGAAACTAAAAAGGGGTGGTGGGGAGAAAGAAAAACAGGGAGAAATCAAAAAGGGCTATAAAAAAAGGGAATAATGTTGTCCAACATTCCAAAGTGTGACAAAAGCAAACTTAATGTGTGAAACCTACACCAGTGCCTGAAAATTAAGATGATCATTCCTGACCCTTCTGATGGCAATTAGCATGCTATTATGACATGACTACTGGATGTCAGTGTGGAAACTAAGATCATGAAACTGAAAAAAAACTGAATTTACCATGATACATACTGTTCAAGCAGGGAGAAATTAAAATAGTAAATGAAGAGGACAACTAGTGAAAGTGAACTGATTTTTATTTCACTTCCAAATAATGTGACATTTTTAGTTTCATACCATAAAAAGAGAATATATAAAGATAATCTTTTAAAATAATTCTTATTTTTGACACTAGGTGGTACCAATTTTGTCAAATGTTTGTTTAGAAATCTAGATTGTAACGCTTGATAAAAACTTCATAAAACTTAAAGATGATTTGAAATAAGAATGCCTTTAAGGGTCACAGTACCTCTGAGAGAAACTGCTGCTGTTTGTGAACAGGTTTAAATATTATAAGAGAACACATACATTTCAATACATATTAAATAGCATGGTCATGGATCAGTAAAGCTAAACATTCCATCTTGTAGCTCTTATGTACTACAGGTGACTGGGCCTTATCCTACCTGTCCTGGGATCCAGGATGGAGACGTAAGGGAAGTCTGACAGTTTATAAAATTGTATGTACCTCTGCCCTTCCTCGCTGTCATGATATACCTACAGAATAATCACATTGGAAAAGTGTCAGAGCCTCAAAGTACAATATGCAACTTTATTTTATAATGTACTCTACATTTTGTAAGCGCAGAAGTCTAATTTCCTTTCCAAATATTTAATAGGTGGATTTTTAGGTCAGATAGGTCAAAATGTCAGTGATAAAGATCTGGAACCACTTAAAACAGCTCTTTTAGCTTTTTGTGCTAACAGGCAATCATTCCGTAATCTGAACTCTGGAGCTAGCTTCTCTTTTACTAGTTAATTAAAAAGCATTCATTAGCATAGATTTATTCCAAAAGCCCATTTTTCATTCCACTACTGCCTTCAATCAATTTTGCTACTTAGAGGAAGGATCTCATTAACCTTCTCACCTGCCAAAATATGAAATGTTCCCGGATAATGTTCTTCACTGCCTCATTGCTCCAGACATCACGGTTAAGACACTGACATGCAAAGTCCTGCACATTCTGGATGTTAATCATGAGCCATTTGTTCTGCATCTGTCCACATTCTTTGGCCTGAAAGAAGAGAGAACAACTACATTAGCCTTTCAGTTTTAACTGAACAGAAACAATGCCAGCAATGATCATTAAGGGCTTCTACTCATGTCAGGCTTCAGTAAAACCCCTTCTCAGTGGAAAGGAACAGGACTAGCAAAAGCCTTCCAACAGAGCCTGGCAAACAAAGGCCAGTTCTAGAAGACCTGTTTAGCCACAATTTCAAATTGGTTGAATTTAAAAAGAAACAAAAACAAATACAAAACAAAACAGAAAAAATACTTGAGTAAACTTCATTGCTGGATTTCAACAAGATTAGCAGAGCAGGGCAGGGATAAGAGGTAATTCTCGGAGCAAAAGACTGAAGGTGGAAATGATTCTGAATTAAGTATTTTTTCAGAAAAAAAAAGAAGAGTGGAGTGAATCACACTGACCCGACAGCTAAGGAAAGACCTAGGCACTCTAGAGGCAAACTTGCGGGAGCTTTTCCTAAGTAGGCTAAAACTACTGATTGAGGAGTTGTATAAATAAAATAGCCCCCTTTTGGCTACATTTTCTAGCTTTATTTTTATACTCTATTTGGGTGTGACTACCAAACTGGAAGTCACTTCCTGATGCTCATTCAATATGCAAGTTGGGGGAAAATGGGAAGGTTTGAAGTTGCAGGAACAGATCTTACTGGTTTGAGTCACAAAGCTGGCATTGTCTGATTGGTTGGTTGCAAGTTAATGGTAGGAGTTTGATCAAGAATGTAATTCTGATCGCTGAATTGTCATACCTGTTGAAAAAAAGAGGGCTATATCAAAAGTATGAATGCTCATATCTCTCGGACAGACTGGAAATTGTGTATGGACTTCTTAAAAAAATAAAGTAAAAGGAGATTTACTTACATGAGTTTGCACCAACTGCACCACTCATGAAGGGGGTAGATGGGAAGCAAATCCAAGGATTTAAGATATTCCACCAGCTTTTATATTTTTCCCTTCAAAATTTAAAATTCCACTTTAAAAGTGAAAACTTAATCTTATAGACCTTACAGTCATTCCTGTCAATGGAGGTATAGACTTAAAACCTCACTATTACTGTTCTAATTCCAATATTTAATACAACTGCCAATTAAATGTTAGGCCGTATAGGTACTAAGGAAAGCTACTGCAAGTCCTTATTGTACAGAGGACCTCAGTTTAAGTACCCAGGTGGTAAAATTACTTTGCACAGCCAGGTGACCCACCAATTGCAACCTGACTTTCTGTTGACTTGGAACGACATTACAGATGAATAAAACACAAGTGTGGAATATGCAAGTATGTGGGTTCCTATAAAAGCACTTCAGTACTTGTCTTCAAAGTGCTCCAAAGTTCATTAATCAATCCGTAACACCCCTATGACAAAGGCATCTTTTTAAATAGACTGGGAAAAAATGAGGCAGGGGGGTACTGACGTAAGTGGCCCAATTTTTCCAAGATGTTCATTAGCTCTAAAAAGGAACCTCTCATTTAAGAGCCTAAAGATAAATCTGGATGCTTATTCGTAGGCAATCAACTGAAAACAAATCAGTCCAAATGATTTGCCCAAGGCTGAGCTGGGAATTCATAACGGTACATATGGCTGCATCAAAACACTCTGGTGACCTCAGCCCTGTGATCCAACCTAACCTACTCTGGGGGGGAAAAAAAGAAGGCATCAGCTAAAACAGTCTCTTCTGTCAGCAGAATTCCCCCTCCACTGCTGGTAGAAGTAAACAACTGAATTTATTCCAACTGAAAAATTTAGAGGGGTGGTCTTTTACCTCCTACATTTTGCCAGTACTTTAGCCAGTTTAACTCTTCCCCATGAAAGACTTCTCTCCTATAAAAGTCTGTGAGCAAGAATATAAAAATATCCCACACAAGAAGAAATCCATAGACTGGAGGGAGAAGGGCTATGGCTAGGTGTCATACCTGAAGCTACTTACATTTTTACTTAAGGGGACAGAATATATAAAATTTAAAGGTTCTTGCCACTACCCGCATTCATATATAGCCATGTATGCACATGGTTGTGAACTATTATAAAGTTCTCTTTTTAAAGATTTTTGTAAGGTTTTATTCTGAAAAGTTATTACGCTCATTAAGTCCAAATGGATGTCATTATAGTGCATTTGGAAACATCTGCTGATTTCACTGATAAATTTTTTTTTCCTGCTTCCTTACTTCTTGTTCACTCAATGCTGAGTGACCTATAGATTCTAATTCTTCCTGCACATCAAAATAATTACCAATGCAGAAGAGCTCAGGAAAGATTTTTTTTTTCCACTGTGCCATCAGAGGCTGTTTCCTAAACATGACTCCTGTCACTGCATAAAAAGGGAATAAAAAACTACTGCTGGAGATAGTGTAGTGTTGTTCCTCCTTGATTAGTTATGATTTAAAGAAAACCCATTTGGGCTCCTGTGAAATGCCTGGACAACCATGAGCAGCTGGAAACAAGGACATGGAGCCAGCACCACATACCCTGTGGCCGACAGACCAGTTTGGAACTAGTTTACCACATTTCCTCAAGTTCCATCTGTGCAACTTACTAAGGCAACTAATACAGTGCATCTCTACCCTGCCTTCAGCCTGACTTTAGATTAAAATGGCTAACTACTAGGGGTGTGCAAAGTGAGCCCTATTCCATTCGGATTTGGCCTGAATCAGGTACAGTGATTCAATTCGTTCATTCAGATTACTGCCCCGATTCGATTCGGCCAAATCCAAATCTGAAGATTCGATACCGATTCGAAGAATCAGCTATTCAGCCACAGACACAGCTTTAAATGTTTTTTCTACATACCTTGAGGTACCAGTGCAGCTTGTGAACGCTGCGATGCTGGGGCACATGGAGCATCCCACAGGAGTGTGGGGGGGCTCTCCACTTGCTCAGCACCAAACCTGGAAGTGGACCAGAAATCGTTCCGGTCCACTTCTGGGTCTGCTGGGGAGTGCGCTGGGGGGCGCCCCCTGCACCTCCCTCCCCTTGACTTGACAAATCAGCTGCAGGGGGACGCCGGGTACCACCCCTCCAGACCCAGGAGGCACCAGTCGCCGAGCCATGGCAGCATGGGGGGGCCCCCCAGTACGCTCTATGGCAGACCCGGAAGTGGACTGAAAGTGCTTCTTGTCTATTTCCGGGTCTGCTGCCAAGCATGCTGGCGAGCCCCCCGCACTTCTGTGGGACACACTATGCACTCCAGCATCACAGCATTCACAAGCCACCTGCTACCTAGAGGTATGTAGAAAAAACATTTAAAGCTTTGCCTATGTCTGAATCGCTGACTCTTTCCGAATCGATTTGGAGAGAGTAAAGGGCCCTCCGATTCGATTTGGATTCGGAGATTCAACCACTGAATCAGGCCAAATCTCCAGTGAATCAAATCAAGGACTGAAGCTTCGCACAGCCCTACTAACTACCTCTTTTTGCTCATACAAAGATGATGGGGTTGTACAAGCAGTGAGGTTCTGAAGTCAAATTAGGCTCTTATTTATTATTACTCATGTGAAAGGAAGAATATGCCCAAATTTGCCTTTAGAGCTCGCAGCTAGGAAACACCCTTATAATACTAAAACTGAGCAGCATGTTTCATATGGAGACAGCGACACCAACTCTGAAGAAATTAAGTAAAAATATTGCTGTAAAGATTTTTGATACATTATAATCTGCCTGGCAACTGACTCCCCAGCCCAGCCCAGCCCAGCCCAGCCCCTGGCTTGTTTACTTTTCATTCCATCCAGGAAGAGCACACACCAACTGCTGCAGCTTCCTGAGCCTGACGAAGGGTTTTTGAACCCGAAAGCTTGCTTAATAACTATTCTCCAACCATTTGGGTTGGTCTAATAAAAGATATCAAATTCACCCAAGGAACCTTGTCTTGCTGTAAAGAAGAAACACACTGAAGATACAGGCGAATATTTTACTCTTTAGAAGTTAGTGCTAGGTACAGTATGAATAGTTGTTTACACACTCAAAAGAACACACCTGAAATGTGACTGCCACATTTCTAGTTATGTATCTTGTACAAATACCGTGAAATATGCCTCACAGGAAAGTAGGAGGGGACAGGAGGGAGAGGGTGAAGAGGACAGAGGTATGACATGTGAAATCACACTTTTGGTACAAGAATAAAACCAAAGTTCCCATTTGTGACCTTCTGTGGGAACATTATTCCCTTTTGCTCTTTAAGGAACACATGCTCACCATTTACTATTTCTGATCTGGGCTGGCCCCCTTCTAACTTCACTATTTTCACTTTGCAATTTACTTTTCTCTCTCTTTCAATTATTGTACAATAAAGCCTACCCTAAAATTCCACATTTTACTTCTGATCTATATTGTTACCCCAGCTAGATGCTTAAGTGTTGTGCATATTTAAGTGTTGGCTCATGCCTTATTTATTCCAGTCGGGCCAACCTTTTAGGCATGTGTGCCACAAATTAGCCCCGCCTTGTCCCTAAGTGCCACTTTGATCCCCGTCCCTTGCTCAATCTGTTGCCCTGCTTTCTGCTCTAAGTCCTGTTTCCTGCCTGATCTGCTGCTCTGCATTTTGCTTGGTTCTCTGTGCTCCCTACCCAATTTGCTGCTTTATTTCTTTCTTCCTGCCCAATCTGCTGCAATGCTGCCTGTCCCTTCCCTAACTTGCCATGTGCCACAAACAGAGGCAACCCATGCCCCTGGGGGCAACTGTGGCGCAGGTGGCCCACCTCCTAAGGAAGAGCAACTGGCTGTAAAGTCAATTATTCACGTGTCAAGACATGCCAGTTGAAGTAGCATGCCCAATCTTAACTCCACATCCTTGCATCTTTGACATGCAGTCTAATCCCATACTGTTCTCAAAATACACACTTTTCCTAACTTCTTGAAAGAAATGCATGTTAAAGCAGTAATGTCTCAATGCTTTTAGGTACTTTTGAATGATATTTCTTAAGTGTGAGAGGGATTTTTTCAAAGAAGGAATTTTCCAGCTTACAGATCAACAAAGTGCCTGAGGCAGACCACACTTCTAT